GGGAACGTTGTCCCCCACAGCAATCAGTTCCTCCCTCCCTTGACTTGAGGTGTCTGGGTTTGAGCCTTGGCCAGGTCCAGCTACATAACGCATGGGGTCTGCTGCAGAAGGAAAGGAGAGGTCTTGGCTAGGAGAGGGGAATGCATGGCCCACCGCCCAGACCTACCGTGGATGTGGGACCTCAAAGAGACTGCAACCTTCCTTCCAGGGTGTGCTCAGAATCTGGACTGGCGGTGAGTGAGAGGCCTCCTCCCCATCCAGCGGGAGGGGTTAGGGCCTGTTCACTGGAGAAACCCAGGGAAGGCACTTGACCCTGTCCATTGTGTCCCTGGGCCCAGGCCCCTGCTGGGTAGACAGGGGGCTTGGGCACAGAACATGAGCTTTTCCTTGTCTGGAGAACCCAGGTGCTGACCCAGGGCTGGCAGTGGTCAGGGGTAGGGATGGCCAAGGGGAGGACAGGCATCAGGAATGGGAGGCCGATGACTGAGAACCCCTCCCTGGAAAGCAGCAGGGGATAGGACCATGCAGGAGCAGAGGCCCTAACACCCCAGACATGCTCCATCCAACTTCACTTACAAAACAAAAATTCAAGGGTAAAATTATTAAGGATTTTAAGATGAAGTCTGCTGAACATTAAACCCAAGTGTGGGCCCTTGCATGCCCAGGAAGCCAGTCCTGATCTTAGCTTCACCACTTATAAGCAGTGAAAGCTTGAGAATATTTCTAAATTCCTTTAAGCATGAATTTCTTAATTACAAAGTGATGATGAGAGTACCTCTTTCAAAGGGGTGCTGTGGAACACTTACAGTGATGACACGTTTGAGTGCTCAGAGCAGAGTCTGGACTTAACAAGCAGTGCCAGGCATTATTATGATGGAAGACTCATCTTGCTTGCTCTTCGGTGGCATGATGTACACTTGGAGCTTTACCTTCTACCCAGTTCTACTGAGGGGCTCTCACTCTTTCGTTTTGCCCTTTGGTGACCAATAGCAGCAGAGTCCAAGGCATCTAGCCAAGCTTCAGGAGGACACCCACTGTGTAGAACATGGGACCTTCTGTGCCCCAGTATACACATACTGCCCTCGTCCACATTAAATACTAATGTGGATTTTTTAAAATCACTTCAAGGAGACTAGGATTCTTTGGCAGTGCTTTAAGAGCCCTGGTGAGATGACAGCAGTTATACCATCACTGGCCACCCCCCACATCCCATTCAACATAGAAACTTGCCTTTTGGTATGAATTGCAGTTTGCTGTTTCATATAGAATTTTGTTTAAAAAAATAAAAAGGGTTCTGCTATTCTAAAGATAAGTAGAGGATGAGAACCAGCACTTTGATCGCTGGAGCTCTGGCCCCTGGACACTGCCTTAGCCAGCTATCTACTGAGTTAGGGTCCCTGGCCAAGTGGCTGCTGACCCGGGGTGCAGTGGCCATGAGTGACTGACAGGTCAAAACCTGCACTCTTACCTCGCAGGTTTCACGTCCAAGGAGAGAGAGCTAGTGAGTGTGACTGAGGTGGACAACGTTACTTCAGATTCCCAAGTGCTTTCTTTTTCCACTGCACTGCCTCCTTGCTTACACTAGGGTCTAAGACAGATGGAACTTTCCAGAAGAGCTATTCTAAAGAGGGTATTTTGATTCTCTCTTAAAAAACACTGGGCTGGGATTCAGAAGACTAGCGTTCTAGTCATAGCTTAGTTACCCTCGATCGTGTGACTTTGGGCAAACTACATAAGCCTTTTGAATCTTAATATGCTCAGCCACGAAGTGGGAATACTCTCTGTCTCGCCTTTATCACAAAGCCCTTATGAGGCTCACATGATACAGTTTGTGTGAAAGTCCCTTTGGAAACCAAAACACCAATCAGATCTATAAATGATGGAAGGGGAGGATCCTTCCTCCCTTGCTTGTCCTTGGACGAGCCCTGATGAAATGTAGGGCATGTGGGTGCAGCTCACACTGTATCATTTCTCTACCAATGACCTTCTTTCAGTGTTTTGTGATCTGCCTCTCACAAACCAAAGCTAAGTGATGAACCACGCACACATACACACATACACACATGCTTCTACCTATCATTCTAGAAATCATTCAAATCATCCCTTTTGTTTACATGGAGTTTTGCAATTGGACAGTGGGATGCTGATAAATGTTTAACAACCAGCTCTCTAAAAAATGACTCACGTGTATACAAGCATAAGTTGATTATAAATCTTAATATAAAAGATGTGTAGCATATAATTTGTAGGTAATTATAAAATAGGCAATACCTTTTATTGTGAATTCCAGACAGCTAATTGATTCCTGAAACACATTTCGCTGACTTATCCTTTGCAGTTGCTGGAAGATTGGAGTTCCAACATGAATACTGGCTGATATTTTCATTTTGATTAAGGAATAAGATGAAACAATGAAGATAAACATTGGAACCTTACTTCTTAGTCAATGATATAAAGTAATTTTTTCACTGAATTAAAGAAAAGATTTTGAATACTGAAAAATATTTCTCATATATATATGCTACTCACAATGTAACAACTATTGAAGTGATATACTTTTTTAAATAAAGATTTTATTTATTTATTTATTTTTAGAGAGAGAGGGAGGGAGGGAGGAAGAGAGAGAGAAACATCAATGTGTGGTTGCCTCTCACACGCTCCTTACTGGGGACCTGGCCTGCAACCCAGGCATGTGTCCTAACTGGGAATTGAACTGGGGACCCTTTGGTTCGAAGGCCGGCACTCAGTCCACTGAGCCACACCAGTCAGGGCTATGAAGTAATACACTTTTATGTTTAATCTGCATTATTAGTATTTTCTTCATCACTTAACTTTAAGTCTAGACAACTACAGAACCATAAATAAAACCCTGATTTGTAGCATTTTTAGATTTCCATAATGCTAATGTCCCCACCACGGCCAACATTAAGCTAAAAATGTGACATCATTGCACACAGCGTAGGGGAGAGATGGGCAGGCACCAATACACAATATTTCCATTATATAGATACGACAGACGTAAATAACCTCAAGAGCATAGATAGTAGTAAAAACACTATAAAATACTAAGGAAGTGATATAGTAAACTTATTTACCTTTGTTAATATAACTTATTTAATTGTAAGTTTATAGAATTTAAGAGTGGCTTTGTTTAATAAATGTTAATAGTGGCTGTGTTTAACAACTGGCTTGCAAAACCCTTATAAATTTAACAATCAGCCCCTGTGAGTGAGCAGGAGCTGAGTGAGCTGAGTCCACCACTGTGTGCTTGTTTTTCTCTTCCTGGGGAATCGGAACATTTTCAGCACTCAGAGTCATTCAGTACTCGTATGTGCTAGATACTGGGAGTCAGGGATCTAGTCCCTGTTCTCATGGAGCTTATAGTCTTTTTGCAAAAACAAACAAAAATGTTTGTGATCTAGAGCAGTTTTCTAGTGCATTGTTTTTTTAATTACAAAGAAAAATCCTGTTTGGCGTCCAAGTGAATATTTGTCTCATTCTTGTTTCTCAGTGACCTCGTAGGCCTGCCTGGCTTGTTCTGTCACCACTCTCCAGTTTTCTGGTGAAATGGTCTTTGTCTTAATGAAGACTTTGGCCAAGGACCCTGGAAATAAGGACTAGGACATGTTGTGGCTAAGTCGGCCCTTGAACCCTGACTATGATGTGCACAGCACCCACCCTGTTTAGAAGCAAAGTCCCCTGAACATCTTCTGATGTGTTTAGACTGCAGGGTTTCCCTTTCCTTTATCATCAGAACTTAGTCTGAGACCTCCACCCACCTCCATGGGCAAGCACAATTTCTGGATCCCAAGCAGAAATAAATACATGAAAAAAAGGCATTAAACCCCCACTTACCCTTTGTTAAGAATAAAATAGAGCTCATGTTGAGAGGGCGTCCTCATTTTGTAGATTCCCTTCAAATCTGGGACTATGCGAGCCATGGCTACACCTCTGCTTAAGGGAAAAGGTGCAGGGCTCAGAGAGTATTGATCATTTTGCCCAGGAGTGGGGGGATGTGTGTGTACCCGTGCATGCACGTGTGCACTCACACGCATATGCAAAGAGAGAAAGACCCTTCACATATGAGCAGAGATTGTTCATCAAAAAGGGCTTGCCGTGAGTTCTCTGTCATCGTTGGTAATAGCTCTCAAAATGACTTGGAAAACTTTAATTATGTTAGAGCCTTGTTTTCAGCTCCTGTTATCTTCTGAACTCCCAGAGGGTGGGGGAGATGGGTTACCCTCCAGCCTGGACTTTTTCTAAAGAGCCTTTGTCTCTCTGCCCAGGTATTAAGTTGGTGGCGCAACAATCATAGGTACATTTGGTTCACTTTTCTCGCCCCCACCCCCCGCCCGAAGCGCCGTCCTGGGTCTGAATGTGGGCCTGTGTTCTCCTGGTCCACCGTCCTCAGCCCTGCACAGGGGACTGAAAGAGAATGGGCCACAGGAATGCACCCCGAACAGAGCCAAATTGTTCAAGCTGCGTGAAGAAGAAAGAAAAAACGGGGAGGGGGGCAGGGAGAAGAAGAAAAGCTTTCCTTGTAGGTTCGATTTCTCTGGAGATATTTGGAGGATAACACAGCAATTTTTTTTTAGTGGGGGGGGGGGGGTCCAAGGGGAGCAAAAACGAGAGAGCCGAGTTTGATGGGCACAGTGGCCCATACAGAAAGGTGACATTTGAGAGAACAATTGCTGGGTTGTTTGGCTACATTTGCTGCTATGAATGAAGCTAAAGAAAAGCTGTCTTTGGATTGCTACTAATAGTCATCTTCATCATTCCTGCTCTCTCTCTCTCTTTCTCAGTTCCCTTATGAAATAAGGGCACACAGGTAATAAACAAAGCACTATAAAAGATCAGATTGAGGTATTCTGTGGGCTCATTCAATGTCGGAAGCCAGCATTCTGCACACCACTGCCGGGGCCTTCGGCTTCCAAAGCTGGTTCGAGACTGAGGAATAGCAGCGGGATTAGGCCAGACCTCTGTCGGTTCTCACAGCCTTGTGGAATTTATCAGGGCCATTTCCTTGGTCAGCTAACCCACACCCAGGGACCCAGGGACAGAGGAAGAGATGGCAGGGTAGAGACCCTTGGATTTGTTCTTTTGGATTTTGGATTTTGACCTGATTTTCTCTGTCAATCCTCATTCCAGATCCAGGTGAGTGAGTAGCCTGGGTTGAAAAGCTGTTTGTCAGTTGAATCTGACTTTTTTTAACCCCCCAACTTTGACACAGGTTTCATTCTCAATTCTTACCTTCCCTCCTGTTGCCATGGGTTAGGCACAGGTGACCTGCAGGCATGCTGCAGAGTCCTGTGTGGCTGCCTGCGGTGAGAGGCAGGCCCCAGGAATTGTGTGTATGAACGGGAATGAGCTGGGTGGGCTCATCTGATTTGCGGGAATAATCAATGATGGGTGGATGGACAGAGTGGGAATGGTTCTTCTCCCATCAGGCAAGCTTTCTTGTCACAAGTCTTTCTGCTCTTGGTTGGGCCTCTGTCTTCTGCCTTTGCCTCCTTTCTCATTTTCCTTTGCTTTCAATTTTCAAGATTCATCCTAAGTGATGTGTTGGCTCTGTCTGGTTTCAAAGAGAAACTTAGGTGAGAGAGTGGTGAGCACCAGCTATGGATTTGACTTCTTTCCATGAGTCAGTAGCCAGTGCCCTTGTCTAGAAAGTTCATCCACATGCTGGTGCTGGCAAGCTGGGCTCCTATAGGCCAGCTTTGGGGTTGACAAGTAACTAAAGATGAAAAGGAGATTCCAGGGTCTCTGTGCTTCATCAGAGCATAGCCATTCTTTGCTTTGCTATTTGTTCCTCATTACTAGGTATGTAATCATCATTACTGCGGATATAATCTAGTGATAGACTGGAACAGAATTATATCAGTTTTGCAGAGAGGAGTGTAGGTTTTGAATAGTTTTGTGTCAGTGCTTGTGCGTGGACAGGCACAACTAAATGTGAAACGTGTACGTCAGAGACTTGCTTGACAAAGCCTCAAGAAGGCAATATTGCTCGTAGATGTGTAATTTATTTCAGGTGCTTAGGCATCCTAAGGAGAGAACGGTTCTGGCATCTATGTATTTGCATCTGTGTTTTCATCAGTGCATAACACCAGACAGTGGTTCAGTGCTCACATGCTATGGGACCCGGCACTCTATGTTTGTGCAGTAGCTTCAGCCCCAGGGTTTCAGGCACTTTCCAAATGACCTTCTTACTGTGATTTCTTTTAAGCTCCATTTTGTGAGTACAGAAACTGATTCGTTGGGGTTTCAGTTATCTTCCGGTTGTTGCAAAGGAAGTCTGTCTGGAATTTAACTAAACCTTCAACTTTCCAGATGAGAAAGTCTGTGCATTGTGTGTGTGTTGCGTGTGGGATAGCACATATGCTATGAAAGCATACATAGTAGAACACACATAATGGAAGTTGTGTACAAACGATAGTGTATTGCTTGTCCTGTTCAGACGTGTGTGTATGAATATTAAATGATCACGCTGGAGAGTTCTGAGTCATTGCAACTTGGTCATTTAGACCAGGCTCTTGATCTTCTGACAGAGGCTCTGCTAAGAGCGTTCAGCAGGAGGAAAGAAACCGAAGGCTGCAAAGGCATGGTGTTAATTTGTAGGAACGGGGTTCTATGTAATCCTCATAAATGCACATCATAGGCACGTGCAAAGTTTAACGTACGTAGCTCTTCTCAATCACGAATAATAGATGCTTGAAAGCTTCCCCAATTTGTCATTATGCAGCAAATGCTCTCTTTATTTGCTGAGCTTTGAGGCTTTTTTTTTTTCTGTGCCTGTGTTTTTCTAGCAGCACTGATTTCTCTGGAAATAACAGAGTTTTACTGTGACCACTGTATGGAAACACTACCAAACATCTGGTTTTAACCTGTGCCGGGAACATAGTAGGGATTCAGTAACTGAAGATAAAGGAATCGTTACGGTTCCCCGACCTGTAGTTAGAGTTCACCTCTGTATTTATTTACACACATAGGTACTGTCTTGAGTAGAATATTCACAGAGTTATTGGACTAGCTGTCTTCTGGCTCAACTGACAAATTTGTTTAATGTCTCATTTAATTTATCAGTAACTTAAATTCAGTCAATCAATCAATTGCTTTGGTATTACGTAAATATATCAGCAACCTTTCAGTCCTTCAACTTTCCTTCTCTGTTTGTCTCTCATCATCATCTACATTTAGTCAATATGTATTATTGATTTTATATAACTCGGGAAGGCTAACATAAGGCTTCATTTCCTCAGAGACTAGGGTCTGAAATACACACTCAGGGCAAGGATCCACTCAGTCCCGGCACAGAATTTAATTTCCTTTCTGCATACTTACCCACATCTCCTGATGGGGAACCAGGGTAGTAGCAGAGTGGTAGTTCAAGGGCTGTAGGTTATTACTCATGTAGAGTGAAAGCGGGGAAAGCACATCATTGCTGTACTGTTCTGCAATTAACACTAACCACAAGTCACAATCTGCAGCTCTGTTTTAATAAGCATTTGCCCAAACAAGGTTGGGTGAGGCAGTTCCCAATGATGTCTGGCCCTGGACATCTGCCTTTTACAGACTTATGGGGGTGTGGGGACCCAGGGTTCAGACACATGCATTATGCACGGTTCCTGTCTCTGCTGATTAGCCTTGTGGGGAAGGGCGGCATTAAGCACTGGCCCGGCAGTCTTCTAGAACAACATGGCAAAATACAGGAGAACACACAGTCTTGTGTTTGGGGCTTTAAGACTCCGAGGTGACTTGGTGCTCAGGAGGATTTGAGAGCAGATTGGCTTATGGCCATTACTGTTGGCTAATAATTGCACTAATCTTTTCGAGGGAGGTTTTGTGGGCGTGCGTGTTCCCCCTCCCTCAGTCTCCAAGTTGGAGAACAATAAGAGAATTGTGTTTCTGCACTAGTCCATGAGACAGGTCAGGGGCTGCGGCTGGCTGGGTAAGGTCTGCGATGGACAACCCACTAGGCATCAGCCCCAAGCCACCAGGGAGGAACCTGAGGCCCCGGTACTCCGGCTTTGGCCAAATCACAGGGGAACATCTGGCTAGCTAAGCCACTTGAGCAGCAGCTGTTTTGGGGTGATCAGATTCAGTGCTTTTTTGGGGAACCTCAAAGCAAGTGCAATGCTTGCTGGAAGAGAAAGAGGAGTATGTGTGTGCACATTCTTGCTTATATGGACATTGCACTTTGTCCATTTTTCTCTTGTCTAAAATTCACTCAGCAAAACTGTTCTTTTTTTTTTTAGAATGGATGATATTAAACCTTCACTTGGAGTAGCAATGCCAAGTGGAGATACTCCTGTAGAACAGCAATTTTCAACGTTTTCATCTAATGGCACACATTAATAATTATTAAAATTCTATAGCACACCCCAAAATAGATGCCTAGAAGGTCAGAATAATAAGTTCAGTGGTTATAAGATCTAAAGAGTAAGTAACATCAACATCCATTTGGTGCTGTGTGTGCTAATTTCCTACATTCCCCTCAGAATGGGCTGCACGGTCATGTTAACCATCCTGAGCCTACAAGTTCCTTTTAGTAAATTTCCACGGGGTGGTTGTTCACGTGTTAGGCATTGTGAAAGCAGCGTCCTTGCCAACATATCAACAGGGATAAGTGCAGGTATTTTAATTCTCCTCTGCCTCTCGGCCCAGGTTTCCCTGGTGCCCACTTTGGGGGTGTTGCACGTCTCCCTCCATCTGCTCCCTGTTAAGCAGCTGCTGAGTTTAGTAACAAGGAGGCTGGTGTGGCCAGTGGATGGAGCACGCTGTTAGTGTAATTTGGCAGGAGGTTGCATGCTGGCCCCGAAGGGCAGTGAAAACGAGAGAAGGCGAGGGTATTTCCACGGGGCGGGGGACAGGCAGGGTGGTGAGGCTGGGCAACCTCGCTGCCACCCGTGGCTGACGCCCTTGGGGAGCTGCTGATCAGAATTAGATTGAGATCCCAGCCGAGATGCAGTTTCTCCCCTCTCAAACCCTGGGAGTTCTCCAGCCTGCGCGGTCCAGCTCCCCATGAACATTTCCAAATTAAAAAAAAAAAATACGTGTGGAAAAATACAGTAAAAGTGACAGCGCCTTCCCAGTTTCCGACAGTTCTGTTTTGACTTCACAATCAGCCAAACTGGAGCCCCTGAGTAGCTGGCTTAATTTGTCACCTTGAATTATTAACCGTTTCCCTGCCTCTCTTGGTGGGTGTCCTTCTGGCTCCTCGCCCACGGCTGGCTCAGGGACCTGTTAATCCTATGCCCTTTCCCTCCGGCTTGTGGCTCTGCCCAAAGAGCCTCCATGGAGTCAAATTTGAACTCACTTCACCATCAGCTCCCTGTTGGTTTTTGCCAAGTAGTGGCTGAAATAGAGGGTGATGGTCAGGACAGGAAAGAATGACTCCAGAGTTAGCTCTCACGTGGTCCAGACTGTCCTGCAGAAGTCCCCCAGTTTAGTACATTTCTCCTAGTTAAGGCCCCAAGGCAGAGAAGGGCTTGTCTCGGAATGGGGATGATATAGGATGCAGTCTCCTGGAAAGCAGAGGGAAAACTAATGCATTTATATTTTACGTCAGTGAGTTAGTCTTTTGACATCCTGTTGCCCACCCTTGGGCATCTCTTCTGTCCTTTTCCTCTACCATCATCCTGTTTCTGCGTACCTGCACTGGTCACTTGGGTGCTCAGGATCTCCTTGGGCAATGCCATCTGCTCAGACCATTTCCCGATGTTCCCCTTTCCCTCAAAACGTCCCTATCCCCAACCCCATTCTCCTTAGAGTCTTGTGCTTTTGGCCATCTGATTTATTAATGTGAGAAATTAATGCGAGTTAATTCTTCGGGAGCCGCATTTTAATGCATTACTCTAAAACAGTGCCTTTCAAAACTAAGGGTTATTTATTTATTTATTTTTTTAAGAAACAAACTACTTGGATCAAAATTGTTTCATTTTTATAAAATGTAAATTGTATTAATTTTAAAGAGGTGGTAAATGGGCATGATTTATAATTCAAAATATAAAAGTGCATATAGTAAAAAAAACCTTTTCCTCCAGTAACTCAGATCTTTCTCTGGAGATAGCAGAAACAACTGGTTTATTGCCTATCATCTCTATCCCTTTCTAATTTTTGATGGGTTTTATTTCTGAAAAGTTTGACATTTAAAG